AAAAGTTCTTCTTCAAGGTCACTTTCATTGCAATCCCTCTCGTTGGTTTTATCACTAAATGGTATGGCGCTTATTATGACGTAAGTTATTTATTCTATTATCATTTCCCCAAAAAAGAAATCAAAATCTAACAATACATCTCTTAGTCAGTTCCAACATTAATTTACAGAAATTGTCGGAAAAGACGCAAACAACCATTGCTGATGCAAACCAAATCGCTGAAGAGGTTTTGTCCACCATGCGAACAGTTAGGTTGGTTACTTCTTTATAGTAAACTTAGTAGAGTCAGTTGATTCAGATCATTTGCATGCGAACGGCGGGAGGTTGATAGATTCGAAGACAAACTCGATGACACATTGTTAATGAACAGAAAGAAGTAAGTTTGAGTAACTTCCAAACTTTTGGCCATTTTTATTTCTTTGTATCATGCTGTTATTCAGTGACGCCTTTCAATGACATGTAACAGCACTGATTATTTTTTGCATCACTGTCTTCGCTAACATGATTGATATGTCGTTTTTTAGGGCTATCGCATACATGGGCTACTCGTGGAATACTGAGTTCTGTGACAACGCGATTTTGGTAGCGGTTTTGTTTTATGGAGGTCATCTAGTCATGTCGGGTGAGTAGTCGTAGAGACAATAAAGTCCTCCATCCACTTACATCTCCTGTGTGTAGTAATTGAATGATGAAGAGACGCAATCACAAGGTGTCATTATCTTGAGACATCAGATTTAATTCTCTAAATAGAAAAGACGTAACTATATTGATTGCTTATATTATCTAGATATGATGTCTACCGATCAACTGATCACGTTCCTCCTTTATCAAATGCAATTAGGCGAAAATCTCTATGTAAGATGTTTTAATCCAAACGAATTTTTTTATTTTCGATTTTTTGTTTTAATCTTCAGTCTTATGCTTTTTTCCTAGCCTCAATCTCAAATCATGTAAAAGAGGAGAACTAATTATATAATGCGGAACATATTTAGAACATCGGCTACGTTATGACTGGCTTAATGGAATGTGTTGGAGCTTCAAGAAAGGTTAGCAAATTTTTGTCTATTTCGCATCATAATACAAAACGCGATTTGCAGGTGTTCGAATATATGATGCGTGATCCAGAATTCACCAATGATGGGGAGAGAGAACCACCTCTCGAAGGCCGCATTGAGTTCAGAAATGTTCATTTCACCTATCCTTCAAGACCAAACAATCCCGTACTAAAGGTTTTTCTAATTCCTTATGAGCAGTGACAAATCTCTTTTTTTTTTTGCAAATTTCTAAAAGTTTTAGGGCTTGGATTTAATAATAGAAGCAGGCCAAACAACAGCTTTGGTTGGGCCAAGTGGCGGTGGAAAGTCTTCTATAGTAGCTTTGATACAACACTTTTACGAGCCCAGCAAGGGAACGATAAGCATAGATGGTGTAAATGTAGAAGACATCTCTCATTCTTATTATCATCACAAAGTAAGT